AAGGGTGGAATGAAGAGGGCAAGAAAGGGGAGTCGCGTTGAATCGGAAGGGCGAGGTTCGGATCGCAGTTTGCGGGCCGGGGATTCGAAATTCCCCGGCTACAGCGGAGGAAGTGGTCAATAGGAAGTTCTGCTACGTGAGCGCCGGTCGCCGAGAGGTCGCGGGACACTCCGGTGCGCGCAGGAAACGTATCCAGTCGGGCTGAATCGAAATAACAATGAACGGCCGGCGCGGCGGGGACGGCGACAAGCTGCGAACACATTGTTCGCTGAACGGGCCTGTTGTCCATTGATTTGCGATCCATTCAGCGGAGCCAATTGTCGTGAACTCGTCCATCGTTCCACCCTCTTCTCGATATTATACTTCGCGATCTGTTGTTTGGATGTTTCGGGTCACCGGCTGAGGCTACAATGGGCTACTCACCGTGAGCCATTTAACGCGCTGATTGCTGGAATATCGCGCGATGCCTGTTGGAGTTTCAGGCGATTTCAATGGATTAAGGCTTGGCGTGATTACTGGATTTCGATGGAGGTCTTTTAGAGGAGGTATTTGCTTTGTGGGGTGTGGTGGAGGGGTTGTGAGTTGGAGGACGTGGATGTGGGAATAGATGTAGGCGTAGATTGATGTAGAAATGGATAGATGTCGAAATGACTGGATGTAGAAGTGGATAGATGTGGAAATGGATAGATGTAGAAATAGATAGGTATAGAATTATATAAATATAGAAATAGATGGATATAGAAATAAATAAATATAGAAATAGATAGATATAGAATTAAATAGATATGGAATTACATAGATATCAAAATAGATATAGGTATAAATGAATATAGAAATAGATAGATGTAGAAATAGATAGATATAGAAATAGATGAACAGAGGATTAGATAGATATCAAAATAGATATTGGTATAGATAAATACAGAAATAGATACATATAGAATTAGGTAAATATAGAAATAGATAGATATAGAATTAGGTAGATATCAAAATAGATATAGTTATAGACAGACGTAGAAATTGGTAGATATAGAAACAGATACACATGGAAATTGACAGATACGAAAATTGGCAGATATAGAACTACATAGATATAAAAATTGATGCATACACAAACAAATACATAAACAACTAAACATATACATAAACAAACACGGAGTCAGATAAATATCACAAAACCCCCATCTCAACGAACGGAACCAGCAAAATTGGAAAAGACAATAACCCACAGCGACGGATCCAAGGAAGATCGAAAGCTCTCGTCTATAAACGATCAAGACAACGTGTCGAAGCAATCCCGTGGCTCGAAAATGAAACAGGACACGGGCGGGGCGAGCGCGGGAATAAAAACGTGCCCGGTCGAAGAAAATAAAAACGTGCCGGCGCAAACAAATGTCGCGGAAATCGCGGCGGATAAATCACGAATTCGAGCGGCAGACGCGGCCGCGGAAAATTGAAAGATCAAAGGGAACGGTCGATGAAACGCCGGAAGGAGGAATCTCGCCGAGCAGAAAGGAAAGCCGCGGCAGACGGGAGAGAGGAGACGACGCGCCGCGCCGCGCCGCGCCGCGTCGGGCGCATCGAATTGAAAAATTCTCGGGAAGAAAACGAAACGGGTGGGAAGGAGCCCGCCGGAAAAGGGAATCAAGAGAGACAAATTCCACGGGTGTCCTGGACAACGGCCAGGAGCACGTTTTCGATCTCCCGGCGGCCGTCGATCCCTCCCGAGGGATCGAATGATCGATAATCACCGGGGCCGGCTCTCGGAAGCCCGACAATGCGGCCGGCCGTATTGGTCCGGCCGGGGATCTCGAATCTCGGACACCGGTGATTAAGTTCCATTTCAATCTGTGCTTGAACTTTTTCCAACGGTTGCGCTCCTGCAAGCTCCACGCGACCCTGGGATCCGAGGCAACGTTGCGCAACGATCTTTTTCTGGGTTGCCTTGTTTTTGTTCGAACGGCGCTAAGCTCGCTGCAGTCTCTGCTTTACTCGCGTACTTTCAAATATTCAGAACGTACGAATGCGATAATGATGTTGGGAGTTTCATTGAAATGATCTTTGACGAAGCGACGGAATATCGGTAGCTTAAGGACGCGATTGTGGAGATACGATGGTGTCTACGTTCGTGAAGGTTGTAAACAGAACTTAAGGAATACGTGAATTATTCCTTGGAAATCGAGATTGGGTAGTTCGATATTTAAACTTCGATAATGAACCTGTAATCCGTATTTCTACTCAGTGGAATACTAATTAGTATAGACTCTTAGTATAATTAGTATAATAAATATAATTCTTTTCAAATGCATCACACTCCACAAAAGTATGAACAAAATTACTGTCCATATCCGCGAAAAGCAGGTGAAAAAATTCCTCGAGCGAGACAGTCAAATCTCCGACCGAATTTCCAGCGCTAAACCTTCGTTTCAGAAGCAAGACTGATTACTGAAAAACAGAGCAATCGATCGCTAGCATTGCAAGTTAGACAAGAAGACTAGAAACGCACGAAACGTCGGGAAGACGTTGCTCGCGGTTAACCCGCGGCGTATAGGCTCAAGTGGAGCCGAGGGATGCGTTTCCGGCGGAACGAGCAGGGAAGAGAGGAGGGGGACGCGTGGAATAGGGCAGGGGCACGCGCTTGAGCGTCGTGCAAAGAGCCATTAATAAGGACTGCCTAATTTCGTGAAAGCCCGGGGCCTCGAACTATTATCTAGGAAACGTAACTCGGTCGAAGAGCGATTAAACGGACGCCACCAAAATACGTCAAGCTGCGGCGGGCTGCGCCTGACAGAAAACCTATAGACGGAACAACCATTAATGAAATGACAAATGTGTTCTTGTCGGCGGCACGAGCAGCAGCAGCAGCCGTGCGCGGGCCAGCTCGGTAGCTAGCCGGCTAGCAGCTAGCTAGGATAGCTACCCGGCGACCGTTTACAAGCCTGTCCCCGGCCACGCTCGGCAAATAAAATATATACGAATAGGTGATTTACGAACACGCCGCACCGTCGCGTCGCGTCGCGTCGCGTCGCTTTATGGACACCGCCGGCGAAGAGGCCGCTCGATTGATCGCGCTTTTCTGCGCCGGTTGCGCGACTAGGCGAGCCCTGATAACGCAATTCGCTGCGATCGACTCGATACGACGTGATCGATGATTCTTCTTCGGTGCTCCGCGATTGATGCACTCCTCGTGGCAGCTTGAAGGGGAATGAAAGTTTTTATCGCGGGATTCTCGCGTGTTTGGGTTTTCGAAGGTGATCGAGGGTGTTCTGAGAGCACTCCGCTCGCCGGATGATTGATTCTCGTTTGTTTGCTTCGGAACGGAGCTAGAGGAATTGCTGACTTTTTCTTTCGCTGGGAATTGTCGGCGATGCGATTTGCTTGTAGCTAAACTGGTGTAGAGTCGATTCAACGCGTGATAAATGCTTAGGGATTCTGGAAGGGATAATTAGTTTCGATTGCTTTCAGATCGATAAGCTGCGTTCTATTAACCTCTCGCGGACTTTCTATTAACATTCTTTGGAATATACGAAACCTTCAACGGATCAAGCTGAATTGTGTCAGTTAATTAATGGAAGAAAAGGAACACCTGATCTCTTGTTTCAGTGATTAACTTGACGTACTATTTACTTTCGCTACTAAGCTCGTGTAACATTTGACTATCGACAATTTAGAAAAGCAGCAACATTGTCCATTCTACTTTAAATTTCACTTGGAGATTATACATTGATAATAGCGAAATAGTTGCTTGCTTTGAGCCGTGGGTAATGAGCAACATTGATTGCTGTTAAATTAGTCTAGAAATCTTCGTCTCGCTCGTTATTGCACGGCAAGTTAAATCATTTGCTCGCGACTTTCTCCAAAATTTGAGCATTTCATCTCGTTGGAGTGTCGATACTCGTCTGCAGAAGAGTTTTGTCACTTGAACACTATGATACACTGATCTATTATTCATCCACACTAATTTCCGTTCAATGCGCTGTTAATCCCCGCTCGTGATCGCGTGACACGAGGGACGTTGTATTTCTTGCGGCGTTTCAACAGGTAGCGAGTTCCCTGTAGAATTTAAGAGGATGTAGAATGGAAGGGAACAGTCATTTCTATGCGGGGATTAGGGAGAAGAATGTGCGGAGGGTCAGGACGGAGCGGGCCGGGACAGTTATGAGGCAGTTTGTAACGCGTGGCTCGATATTCATGTCCTGATTTCGCAAACCGGCAATAATTCTTTCCCCCGCTGAACCCTGACCCCTGCCTTTCCGAATCGTGCTTACAAAGAACTAATTTCTACCTTTCAATGGGAACATAAAGGGAATCCCAACCCACTTTAACTTCTCGAAGGTGAATACCGTCATTTTAACATCAAATTTTCATATATGAGACGCAAAGTTGTTCGTGTAATAACAAGAGAATATTTTGATGATTTAAATAACAGGAGATCTATACATAGAACTCTTTTTACGTAGACTAAGTGAAATCATCTGTTTATTTCACGTGTAAAACCTAATGTAGAATAATTTTTGATTAAATAAATATACACTGCATTAATCCTTTGCACTCGAGAGGTGACTCTCAGTCGCCACTTGATTTGACACAGTAAAACTATAGAACGTGATATTTAATGTTAAACTTTGTACAATGCCTCGACACGTGAAACATTGGAATAAAACAGCTTCGTTCCTCAATGTACTGGCGATTTCTCTACGAATTAGTCTCAAAGAACATCGTCTTCTCGTAAGGAAATGTTAAATATTTCTAGTAAGAAACATCCGAATGCAAAGGGTTAAAAGCTGCAGTAGTACAAGATATTTCATAAAATGAACCGAAATTCAAAGGAACGATGGATAGGAAACATATGTCCAATGTTCGAAGAGAATTTCTATAGGTGTCTATGTGTTCTTTTAAAAAGACGAAATTTATACGACAATGGGGAAATTTTTCTTCCAACGATAAACCATCCGCTGTCACGTTGCTTAATTCGTTTTCCCTCCTTTCTGTGGATTCAGGGGAGCTGCCCGCGGCGGTGCACGACGGCAACGGCGTCTCCAGGGCGTTCCTCAACCTATGGCTAATTCACTTAACGATGAGCTACGTGTTCTCCAGATGACAATACTAAGGTGAGTCGATTTCTCCGGGCTAAACCGTTCCCATGGGCGTTCGCTCGCGTGTAAATATTTATAGGGGAGCTTGTCTTTGCTCGCTCCTCGAGATATCTTCTTTCGAAAGCGCATCATCCTTTCCTTATTCCCATTGTTTTATAAACTGCCTCCTCATCCGGTTTACTTTATTTTTACATACAATAAATACTAATGTTTGAAGGATCATCTTCGTCTTTTCTACGCTCTAGTTACAATGTTTTGCTACATATAATCCATCGTCTTCGTGACGTTACATTAACACACTATCGGCGGGTAGCATCATGAGCTTGACTCACACGTATAGCGGGCGAAAATTAATTTTTTTTTTCTTAAAAATTAATAAATTTAGGACTAAACACTGGTAAGGCTTTACGAAAAACAACCAAGAACATCATTCCTGCCCAAAAATTAGTGACAATGAAAAAAAAACGCCGCCGATAGTGTGTTAAGATATCGAAAACAACCCTTATCGGTTCAACAAATGAAATTTCGATCGTCGAGGATTTCGTCGATGTAACTTCAAACCAAGTCGACTTTCCAATGTATCGGAAAATTGATTTTCCTGTTTGAAAACGGTTCGTACAGCGACTTGGTTATTAGAACAATACCGTGCACTGTATATATGGATCAGGTCGAGGTACGCGGCACAGTTCGCTGCAAAATGGCGGCCGACGGCCGGCCTGGAACTCTGAAGAATTCCCTATCACTTGATGAGCCGAATCCGTTGAAATCCTGCTTCGCGAAAATTGAACGGAGCTTTCAATTTCGCGGGGCCAATCTATAGCGGCGGGGAAATCCTGTCGAATTCGGCGATTCCTCCGAAATCGCCACGCGTTCGCCGGTCCAACCTTCCGTGAATAGGCAGCGTTTCCACCGGAGATGTTCACGCGCTATAGATATCGTGGATTACAGGTTCTCCGCATTCATAGTGATCGCAGGTCCATCGAATGTTGTACGAGCTATTTTATTAGGATGTTTATCGCGAGAAACGATCCCACAAAGAAATAACAAAGAACTTCTCGAAAATCGGTTCGTAATTTCAAATGTTTACGAATTATCGTATCAATCCTCGTTTTCACGAGTATTCTACACGTTTTTGTAATTAATCTGTAAAGGTTACTGATTGAATACTCTTAACTGTTCACGGATTTTTAAATCATTGGTTACTATCGAGGAATACGTCGATATTTTCTACATTTTTGTTTCTCTTCGTCTTCTCTCCCTTTCAGATTTTATTATCAGCGAACGATGCGTTTCCATAAGCGCGTGGCCAATTACATTCTCCGTCTCGTCCTCTCCGTGCTCGTTCCCCGTAATTCGGAGCATCCATCGGATTTTGTTTCTATTTCCCCCACGGTCCGCTTTTCGGTGCGCTTTCCAGTAATCGCTCCCCTTTGCCCCGGGCTCTTTCGCCACTTTATGATCTCCTCTCTCTCAGTTTACCCTCTATTTGCGACTCCGTTCACTTTCAGTTCCCTTTCACGTTACGTAGCGAATTTTCCGCCTCGTTTTCCATTCAATTTCCCCCGCGCCCGCCGACTGTTGTTTATTTGTTCCCTTTCTCCCTTCGCCGCTCGCCGTTGCACTTCCTTAAACGCGTGTGCAGATTCTTGTTATCGTTTTGAAGAACTCGAGACGATCTTGGTGTTCTGTTTCATTGTGTTTAGACGTAGATTGCTCGATAGACTAAATTCTAGGATTAATCGATTCTAATTTCCATCGATTAACCTAATCTAGATCTTGTGGACATAACTATCGTATCTATGTCTATTATTCCCTTTATATATTTATAAAAATCCAAGGATTCTCTTGCACTAAATGCTCGTTGAAAAATTGCTCAAATTCAACGTGTAATTTTCGAAGACAATATGACAGTCAGTCTACCATCACTTATATAATTACCACTTCCTATATTTTTCTCATTAACGCAAGCAGAAATACATATAGTTTCCTGTTTCGAACACATTGCGACTTTCAACATCTTTACATTAAGAAAATTTATCTCGAGGCATTGAAAAATTTCAAAATTTGTCAAGGAAACTACGACGATCCTTTAATTTTGAATGTTAGCGTAGTTTAATGATCGCGAGTTGAATTCGTTGACAGTCATTATGCTTTCCGTCTGAAACGATACGTGCCTGATTCTTTTCTTACCTTTCGAACGGTGTTTTATGCTGTGTTTCCCCGTTTTTTCGTGTCCTTTCTCTCTGCGTCTCTCTCCCGTTCCTTTGTTTAACCGTGTACCCCCTAATCCGAGTTTTAGATGAGTTTCCAGACAGGCGCTCGAGAGCCCATCGAGCCATAACAAAGTTCCGCGAAACTTTCCCGGGCTAATGCGAAATCTTCCGCCGGCTTCCGTCGCCACCCTGCAAACCGGAAGAATACGGTGACGCTTTAATGCAGAACAAATTACGCGGAGGGGGTTGTTCACACGTCGCCGAGTACGGAAGACAAGCGAAACAATTTTCATATTAATTCCTGCATTATGAACACAGTTCGAGGCGGGGGGGAATTTTTGCGCTTGGAAGATTACGGCGCACTGCGTTTCTCGTTTTGTGAACGTTCGTAGTGACTCTGGAGTTTTGGAATACGGGGAGCATCGGGTTTGAGGGTTATTGGATTGGACTACTTGTGTATTTGGAAGTTTGAAGGTTTGAATATTTGAATATTTAAATATTTGAAAATTTGAATATTTGATGGTTTGAAGGTTTGGATGGTGCAAATTTGACTATTCGAATATTCGATGGTTTCATGGTTTGAATATTTGAAGGTTTGAATATTTAAATATTTGAAAATTTGAATATTTGATGGTTTGAAGGTTTAGATGGTTGCAAATTTGGGTATTCAAATATTTAATGGTCTCACGGTTCGAATATTTGAAGGTTTGAACATTTGCAACTTTGAGTATTTGAAGATTTGAAAATTTGAATATCTCAAGGCTCAAATATTTAAAATTTTGAAACTTCGAAACTTCAAGAGCTCAATATCCCCTCAATCACTGACTCCATTCTTTCCGCAACAGTCATTCGAAAATGACCCATCGAAGGAATGTTACCACAGCGCTTTCGTCGGTCAGTTCCCATCAGCCCGAGGTCCTGAAAATGTTTTCCCTCTCCAGCCGACACAGTTTACACAATTTCTACACACGTCGAACGCCGGTTGGCGAGGGTGCCCGGCCACGATGGTTCGCGATTATTGGCTGTTGTTTTGCGATGAGGGATGGACGGACGGATACAACGTCATTGGGGCACACGCGGTGATCTATGGTACCTGATAATGAAAGCACGGAAGGTGAGATACCGCGTTGCTGGCTGCGTCGCGTAAGCTATCGTTTCCGTGGAACACGTCACACAGCACCCTCGTCTTCCTTCTCTCTTGCCACGCTGAAATTATCCCTCGCAATACTCGAATCCGCTCTGATAAAAGCGTGAATTATGAAATCAGTTAACGGATGATCTGCTCTGATAACCACCGCACGATGCGTTCACTTGGCAATGATATAAAATCAGCAAGCAGAGGTTGAAGAAATTAATCAATTTATATTATTCAAGCAGCAATTGAATGGTTCCACTAAAATTCCAAAGTGGATTTCAATCGAAAAGTTGAATTGCAGTTCCAATTTGAAAATCTGGAAGTTTGAACGTTTAAACATCGAGAAGTGAAATTTCAGTTCTAATTTGAAAATCTGGAAGTTTGAACGTTTAAACATTAGGACATAAGTTTGAAGATTTGAGAATATGGAAACTTGACAATCTGACAGTTTGACAATTCGAAAGTGACTAACTTACAAGCATCCCAGATATCTTCAAGTATTTCGAGCACAGCTTAACCAGAGTGAATGAACGATGTGTCACAAACAAAAACTAGTTCCACTGGCGCAAAAATAGGCGATAACGAGCCCGGATAATTCCCGACGACCCGGTTTCATAGTTCATTCGGATAGTTCACGTCGAATCGAATAAGTTCCGCACTTCGCTTAACGATCCCCGTTTCGGAGGCACTGATAAGGTCCTTCTGACGAAGCTGTGATTTATTCGTGTTTCGAGTCTCTCGAGGATGGGCCAAGATTTCCGTCGGAGTTCCCGATTCGTCCGACTCCTAGGAAATGATCTTATTAACTTGAATCGGGCCGGTGTCATTAGGCAGAAGTATCCGGCGATTATATTCCGAATTTAGCCGGAAAGAACGAAGCCGCGGTTATTGGGCGACATTCTCTTCGTTTTATTCGGGGAAAGTCACGAGTTATCTTGTTAGCGAGTGCGGAGTCTGGTTACGAAACTGTCACGTCTGGTGTAGCCGCTTTTAAACGACTTTACTTGGCTGGCTATACTTCACTTTACTTTGTTTTATTTTACTTCACTCTACTTCCCTCGGCTTATTCTTCGCAGTCTCCATGTTTGGAGGAAAGTGTGCTCTTGACACGAGGGGATAACCTGCAACTCGTTAGTAAAAAACCGAGATTCGTTTAAATAACTCTGCTTCTTCTACGTTATACAATTAAATTCTATTGAATTTTATGTTCGATAACCTTATTCCTAAATTTCTCGAATATTCTACTTCTTTCCTACAATTCTAAACGTTGTATTTTCCTCTTTTAAATGCATTCACTTATACCTTTTCTTAAGTTTCCTTAACCCTAATTATACCACGTGTCATAACGAATCATACCGCGATATAACTCTCAGTCACTTATGAGAATAAAAGGAATGATTAAAATGTTATTATCTATGTTTATAAAGCCTACAATATTTTCTAATGAGATACAGATGACATTTTCTCAGATTGAATTAAGAAATCTCACATGCATCGAGGAAAACTATTTTCTTTCAATATCTCGTACATTGATGCATAATACAAAGTTTAATATGAAACACCAAAGTTTTCAGTTTTGCTGTGTCAAATCATTTGGTGACCCAGAGGCTCTGGAGCGCAAAGGTTTAAAAGCCCATAAAATCTTCTGAAAATGCAATACGAAATGAT